ATTACTACCTGTGTGTTGATAGTTACCTGTGTGTTAATTACTACCTGTGTGTTGATAGTTACCTTTGTGTTAATTACTACCTGTGTGTTAACTGTTATCTGTGTGTTAACTGTTACCTATCTACGTATTACCTGGTATCTGTATGTGTGTGTGTGTGTGTGTGTGTGTGTGTGTGTGTGTGTGTGTGTGTGTGTGTGTGTGTGTGAGTGTGTGTTAACAATAAGCCATGTGTATTTAATATTGCTTGTGTGTTAACTGTTACCTGTGTATAATGGAGGTAGTTGTGTCCTCAGGGCATGTACCGTGAGCGAGATAGCGAATAGTGTCACATAGTGGTCAAACAACTCCTTAACTTCCTTAACTCCTTAAGTCTCTCACTCCCTTTCTCTCTCTCGCTCTCTCTCTCTCTCTCTCTCTCTCTTGATATATATATATATATATATATATATATATTATATATATATATATATATATATGTATATATATATATATACGAATGTGAGAGATAGGGTATCACGCAGGGCTGTGACATCTAATGTTTTAATCTTACCTTCTTCCCCTCTCTCTCTACATAGGGTGAGATTACCAGCCCCCGCGCAGCGAGGAAGAGTGAGCGTCTGGAAATTCCTCAAGTCGTGCATTGGGAAGGTGAGTCCAACGTGTATGCTGTCCAGCTATAGTCCCTGACCTCTGACCCCCTGATCTTTAACCTCTGCCGTCAACTGGGTATATAGCAGCCCAGTTCTGCCCATATACAAGTGTTATACAAGTGTCTATAGGGTGGTATTTCGAGGAATGGAGAAGTGAATGAAAAACAGGCATTTATTATATGATTGATATTGAATTAAAAACGTTTTTCTTGGTTCTATCTTTCTCCCCCTCTCTTTCTCATGCGTGTGTACATGATGTCTGTCTCGCTCTGTCTGCAGGAGTTGTCTAAGATCACGATGCCAGTCGTGTTTAACGAGCCAATCAGCTTCCTGCAGCGCAGCGGAGAGTTCATAGAATACAGCTTCCTATTGGACAAAGCTGCCGAGACCGATGACGTCAACGTCAGACACCAGGTAGCGCTGCGGTGACGGAGAAGTCCGCGTTACACATTAGTGACTGCCGTCATCTTGTATATTCAAGTAAAATAAATAAATAAATATATATATCTTTCTCCCCCTCTCTCTTTCTCTCTCTCTCTCTCTCTCTCTCTCTCTCTCTCTCTTTCTCGTTCTCTGTTTCTTTCTCCCCCCTCCCCATTTCTCTCTTTGATACGGTAGACGGGGATGTTATAGCATTACATTGTATCTGCAATGTCTATTCAATACTTACTATATTGCCTAAATCCTCATTATAATATATATATATATATTCGTGTGTTGCTCGTA